AAGATCTTGTCTAGCCCTAGTGAAGTCAAAGAAATTGTTTTACTTTTGTCGTCAGACTCTGTGTGTGTGTGTCCTTGTTTTGTCCAATTTCTTAATGTTGTCAATTTTTTCTGGTAATTCTTATTCCAGTGATACTGGTCCAAGCTAAAATTGCCTTATTATTGTCCAATGTTACTCGAGTGTTTTCCTATTGTTGTCTAATGTTTCTCTAATGTTGCCCTATAGTTTTCCAATGTTACTCTAATGTTGTCCTATTGTTGTCCAATGTAACTCTAATGTTGTCCTAATGCTATCCTTTTGGGCTTTAATTGTATGACTCTTCTCCCCCCCTCCCTCCCCACCCCACCCCCAGGATCCTGGCTAGTCGGAGCTAAAACGCCAAGAATCACCAACCAAGACCTGCTCTTCCTCTACGGGAATTTCTTCTGCGACACGACAAGGTTCACCATCGTGACAACAGGCGATACCACGGCCTGCGTCTGGACATCGCCTGTAACGGCGACCTACGACTCGGCGAAGTCGATGTGTACATGTAAGGCGGTGCTCATCAAACTTTTCATTTTTACTTTCTCGTATATAAAACGAAGTATAGAGAAAGTCTTGTAATCGTGCAAAAAAAATCGAGATTTTTACAAATCTCGACGTTTTACACCTCACTGATACGGAAAAACATAATTTTGCAATCTTGTCCGTATGTCTGTGTGTCTGTCTGTCTGTCTGTCTGTCTGTCTGTCTGTCTGTCCGTGTGTAAACACGATTACTTGAGTACCGTTACAGCTAGGTTGATGAAATGTTCATATATAAGTATTTTATCAAAATCGTAGATCAGTATCAACTTTTGAGCGATTTCCGATAACCGAAAGTGGTACTTTTCCTACTTTGAATTTTTCAAAAGCCTATAACATGAGTACTATTTCAGATAGATAAATGAAATTTTACATGTAAGTAAAAGATCTAATTCTCTACCTTCTGTTAAATTTTGAGTAATTTCCGTTGACCGGAAGTAGTAATTTAAGCTACTTCCGATTTCTCAAAAAACTAATGTAAATTTTTAAAGTACCAATAATATTGCGCAGTATTATGCACCTTTATTTAGCGTTCATTTGGTGTGCATTTCTTTTTTCTACGAGATTATATTCTATTTTTTTTAAAATTGAGTATTTAAAATGGATTAAAAATCATGTCTAGAAGTCTATATCCCGAGTTGCCATCCTCCGTAGTGTTATATTAGAATATTCGAGAGGGAGATCACTCCCGGTTTATTTTATATTATTTTTTTCGTAAACCTTGGAGATAATCTCAAGTTTCCGCATTTAAAAAAAACAATTAGTTAATTGCAAGTCTCTGGTATGTTCATAAAATAATTATGAAAAATATGACCTGTAACGTTGGAAAAATAATTTATAATGAAGGTCGATAAGTCTTTAAGACGATTACAGAATCCTACTTAACACAAAAACCAAAACGTTGATGGTGTGCTTACATTATAAGGTTAATTAGATTTAAACAGTTACCTCCTCAAGATTATAAAGGAGGGGTGGGGAGTTGGAGGCACCTCGACAACGAGAAATAGCCGCTCCGGCAGGTTGAAAATGGGGGTCAGATAGATTAATAGACTTCAGATAAACAGTGATACATAGAATTTTTTAAACAAACTATAAAATACAAACGCAATTAAATCTACATAGACATTTATTATCAACCACTTAATGTAAACCGCCATTTTAAATTCTAGTTGATACCTATCTAAAGTCATGTTTAAAGTTGACTGCCTTCATTGAAACAAACGCTGTACAACAACCTCCTTTAGATGAGCTACATCCTGTGTTGATCTTAACATAAGAAACAAACGCGAAAGATTTTATTTCTCCTTCAGCCATGGGCGCCCACCTAATCGTGACTAAAACCTTAAGAAAGTACGTGCTTCTCAGGAGTATCGTGAAGGCCCTATCTACCCCCTGGATAGGGCTCAATGACAAGCAGACTGAAGGGACTTTTAGATGGGAGGACGATGGCTCGGTGATAGATCCTATATTGAAATTACAATTGTTTAACGCAGGTAAATTGATTTTCAGTCAGTTTACTGTCGGGTCAATGATCGGGTCAATGATCGGGTCAATGATTGGGTCAATGATCGGGTCAATGATTGGGTCAATGATCGGGTCAATGATCGGGTCAATGATCGGGTTAATGATCGGGTCAATGATTGGGTCAATGATCGGGTCAATGATTGCTCAATGATCGGGTCAATGATCGGGTCAATGATTGGGTCACAGCTCGAATTAATAGTCCGATGATTGGTCGAATCATTGCCGGTTGTCATTGGGAGTATTTTCAAAAAAATACATATATATATATATATATATATATATATATATATATATATGTAAATATATGTATATGTAAATATATATATATATATATATACAATACATACATATTATATATATATATATATATATATATATATATATATATATATATATATATATATATATCGTATATACATAATATGTATATACGATATATACATATATACATACATAAAGGCTATATTTATGCCTGTGTCTTGCAGGGGAACCCAACGACATGGGTGGAAACGAAGATTGTGTGTACCTTAGCAATGCTCTATACAACGACTACTCGTGTTCGGACACATTGGATTTCTTTTGTGAGATCGAGTTTATCTGACAAGTCACACAGCAATGGTCAAGGGGTGCAGTCCAATATGTTATAATACGATTTTAATTTTTATTTGCAACTATTCTCTTTGCCTTTATATGTTGATTTTGTTAAAAAATTATTTACTTTAACAACCAGTCGAATAAATATATAAATAAATAAATAAATAAATAAATAAATAAATAAATAAATAAATAAATAAATAAATAAATATATATATATATATATATATATATATATATATATATATATATATATATATATATATATATATATATATATATATATATACTAGATAAATAAATGGCCCGTTGAAATATAACGGCAGCGAGGTTGATAATGTTGTCTTTTTTAAAATCACCACCTCAACTTCAGATTTAACCGGAAAAGAAAAATATCATTGAAATTGTTATCAATAATCGGCGTTCTAACGGGATTTAACATATTTACTGCACATTCATACTAAACATAGTCGTAGTCATACCCCAATTTAACTAGTATCTGCCCCCTTCCCAGGAACATTTTGTCCACCTCCCCCTACTCCGTTCACCAAAACTTTAAATCGCCCCCACCCCTGAGGAGAACAACCACTGAAATCAATTGTATTTCGTTCGGGGGGTTGGGGGGGGGGGGTAAGATGGGGGGCGGTAGACGTTCTTTTCGTGTCATTATGACAACTTCCTGTCACGGTCTTTCACCAGGCAACTTTTAAATTTCTTTGTGTTTTCTCTGTAGCGTCACCAACAGACTTAATAGCGAAACGATTATAGTTACATATATATATATATATATATATATATATATATATATATATATATATATATATATAATTATATTCGCTTTCACTGTTTTAAACACTCTGAAAACAGTTCTTCACATTATTTTAATGCAATTAACTCTTAGATGATTTAAAGTGTTTTTAATCAACAACTCAAGTTGTTTTAGCGATCCACATATGCCCGTTTGGCATTGTTGTTTTTCTATTTTAATGAGATTGCGGATTCGCTCATTTTGAAGCCGATGTCGCCTCAATATTGTCTTAAAATAATCCGGATGGGGCGGACACTATAGTTTTTCAATTGTGTCTGGGGTTGGGGTGGACGTATCTCACCCCCCCCTCCCCCCCAAGAGTCTACAAGTAGTTATGCAAAATACAGTGCTCTTGACATTGCAACGCAGTGTGCAAAACACACTTGTCGCACTTGGCTCCACACAGCCCACACATTCTCCACCACACAATCAATAATTAACACTCCACACACACATACACACACCACACACACACACAATTAATAACTAACACTCCACACACACATATACCACACACACTACACAATTAATTACCAAAACTCTACACACACACACCCCACACATTCTCCAACACACAATCAATAACCAATACTCTACACACACACACCACACACAATCAATAACCAATACTCTACACACACACACACACACCACACATAACACAATCAATAACCAATACTCTACACACACACACCACACACAATCAATAACCAATACTCTACACACACACACACACCACACACACACACCACACACAATCAATAACCAATACTCTGAGTAACGTCAATGTTAAAAATAAATACGCTACTTTTTTTTTTATATTTCTAGCATAGTAAAACAACAAGGCCACAAATTGTTGCTTTTTATTTTTAAAAACAAATAAGCATTTTGTTTCATAATTGAACAAATTCTATAGTTTTCAAAATAGGAAAAAAAGAAACTGATATGGCTTTTGTTTCGTTTTTTTTTGTTTAGCTATATATGAATATAGCTTTCTACAGAGAACTGCATGTGTTAGCAACGTTTTACACAATAAAAAATTGAAAATGTATACGCTTTGTTTCTACCTCAATTTGTTATTTTGTAACTGAAGACAGTACTCAAACTTAGACACGAGAAAACCCAGGAGAAAACTGAGATTGGGTGTATGTTTTAGTTTTGAATCCAAGTTTTACTTTTTGTTCACACTAAAGCGTTTGTAATCAACCAAAACAGCTGCGGTTTAAAATTGAAAGTGAAATTTACTTATATTAGACAAAAGCTGTCTATTGTCCGTAATGCGTTGAAACTTGCGAGCAAAATTTCAACCATTTCTACAGGACTGATTTTTTTTAAACTTTTTATATAGGTCAAGACTTGATAACTATGCATTGTGGAAAAAAAATTGACTTAATTTGATTTTTAATGAACCTAGTTGACAGGTATACTCGCTTTAGCTGGACAACAAAGAAATAAAGAAAAAAGTCTTTAATCTAGAGTAAATAGCAAGTAAATGCCTGCGTGCTAAAAGCAATGTATGACGTATCTGTATTTTAACACGTATTAGCACTGACGTCTGACGTCATGAAGACGTGGAAGATGGACAGTGTCCCAGCCGAGTAAAGACATTTGGGGACTGGGTTCATGAACAGCGCGAACGTCGCCTGAACTGGGTGTTCATAGCGGGGCGAAGGGAGATCGTTCTGCAAGGCCCAGCCAAAAGCGTTGAGTTGTCCTTTGTTGTAGATGACACACATGGGAAATAACTCCTCACATTTCATGTTTAGCGAGGTTCTGTAGGAGTAGTGCTGCCCTGTTGTCAAAAATTGAATGGAAAATAATATTTTTGTTATTTAATTTGATTTTTCATTAGCTAGATATATATTCTGTTTGCTCAAGGTCGTAATTCTGTAACTATTGTATTTTTTATGTAAAATGAAAAACTATCTTTTCAAAACTAAAGCGATAGTTTAAATAATATATCTAACTGTTTAAATTAATCGGGAATTAGGTCTGTTGTTTTCAGTTGATGCTTTAAAAAAAAAAAAAAAAAAAAAAAAAAAAAGAAAAAAAAATTAAATAAAAATTTAAAATTGTATTTTTATGGCCCCTTGATTCTTGATAATGGCGACGTCCTTCAACATATAAATTACTAGATTCTCTATACGACTATACGATCTAAGAAATATTTGAGCAAGTTAAAAAAGTTATTAAGGACAGTTGGAGGATTACAAAAGATTATCAAGTGTATCCCTGGCTTGGCAGTAAACAGTTATGTAGGAATGAGACATGCTTTACCAAAGTCTATGACAGTATCCAGCATACAAAAACCAGATTTTTCTTCTTACATGTACCCAAGTAATACAGCATTAGTTTCACATACTGTTTGTCATAGACACAATGGGTCTCTTTTGAACTTTGGAAGTTCCTTTGAAAGACCCATTTTGTCTTCTATTACAAGCCAGTCTTTAATTCAAGTTCGAGGCTTCAAGATTGTTCTACGACCACGCTTAATTTGTGATGGCTGTTATTTTGCTTGGCATCATGGTAGGAAACATGTTGAATGTAGTGACCATCCTAGCCACAAGCAAATAACGAAACTTAGTGATAGAAAAGTTTGGAAAGAAGATTATTCCAAGGGTAAATTTGTGACGGCTATGGACTGGAACAGACGGATTCTTAGACAGTTTGAGAGGAATGTAGACAGAACAGTTTTGTCACAAAACTGGCTTGCTGGAAAGCTAGGTACAGAATTGTAGTACAGTTGTGCTTTACTTTTTTTTATACATTGTATCACAGTCTAAAAAAAAAAAATTTAAAAAAATTAAAAAAAAATTGTATATGAGAAAAATAACTATAGTTTCACAGTATACTAATTGAGGGTCACGAACATTACCCCCCCCCCCCCGACATTACCCCAGGAGTCATTACCCGCTGTGAATTATCACCGTATGATCTCCCCCACCTCCCCCCCCCCCATCCTGAAGAATCCTGTCCCAAACCCTAATCGCAAACCCCAACCACAAACCTATAGCTAACACTAAACCCAAGATCAATCCTAAAATCACCTCTTACCCTATCATCCCAAACCTGACGGTACTGGGGGGGTGCAATTACTTTAGGGAATGATGTAGAGGGAGTGGAGATAATTCTGGGAGGGGCAACTGACGGGGGGGGGGGGTAATGTCCAGCTCCCACGATTTAAATGGTTCGTCAAACCTAATACATAGACATATATCCCTACAATTATCGTACGTACCTAACACATAGACATATATCCCTACAATTATCGTACGTACCTAACACATAGACATATATCCCTACAATTATCGTACGTACCTAACACATAGACATATATCCCTACAATTATCGTACGTACCTAACACATAGACATATATCCCTACAATTATCGTACGTACCTAACACATAGACATATATCCCTACAATTATCGTACGTACCTAACACATAGACATATATCCCTACAATTATCGTACGTACCTAACACATAGACATATATCCCTACAATTATCGTACGTACCTAACACATAGACATATATCCCTACAATTATCGTACGTACCTAACACATAGACATATATCCCTACAATTATCGTACTTACCTAACACATAGACATATATCCCTACAATTATCGTACGTACCTAACACATAGACATATATCCCTACAATTATCGTACGTACCTAACACATAGACATATATCCCTACAATTATCGTACGTACCTAACATATAGACATATATCCCTACAATTATCGTATTTACCTAACACATAGACATATATCCCTACAATTATCGTACGTACCTAACACATAGACATATATCCCTACAATTGTCGTATGTACCTAACACATAGACATATATCCCTACAATTATCGTATTTACCTAATACATAGACATATATCACTACAATGATCGTATTTACCTAATACATAGACATATATCACTACAATGATCGTATGTACCTAACACATAGACATATATCCCTACAATGACCGTATTTACCTAACACATAGACATATATCCCTACAATTATCGTACGTACCTAACACATAGACATATATCCCTACAATTATCGTACGTACCTAACACATAGACATATATCCCTACAATTATCGTACGTACCTAACACATAGACATATATCCCTACAATTATCGTACGTACCTAACACATAGACATATATCCCTACAATTATCGTACGTACCTAACACATAGACATATATCCCTACAATTATCGTATTTACCTAACACATAGACATATATCACTACAATGACCGTATTTACCTAATACATAGACATATATCCCTACAATGATCGTATGTACCTAACACATAGACATATATCACTACAGTGACCGTATTTACCCAATACATAGACCTGTATCACTACAAGGATTATATTTACATAATACATAGACATATATCACTACAATGATCGTATGTACCTAATACATAAACATATATCACTACAATGATCGTATTTACCTAATACATAGACATATATCCCTACAATGATCGTATGTACCTAACACATAGACATATATCACTACAGTGACCGTATTTACCTAATACATCGACATATATCACTACAATGATCGTATTTACCTAATACATAGACATATATCACTACAATGATCGTATGTACCTAATACATAAACATATATCACTACAATGATCGTATTTACCTAATACATAGACATATATCCCTACAGTGACCGTATTTACCTAATACATAGACATATATCCCTACAGTGACCGTATTTACCTAACACATAGACATATATCCCTACAATTATCGTATTTACCTAATACATAGACATATATCACTACAATGATCATATTTACCTAATACATAGACATATATCCCTACAATGATCGTATGTACCTAATACATAGACATATATCCCTACAATGATCGTATTTACCCATCCTCCTGGGGAAACACATTCCCTTGGTCCACTCCGTCCCCTGAATGTCCACCTCCCTGTCCGGCACCCTGACGCTGTCCTCAGGGACGGAACTGTTCTGTATGTACAGAACGGTGCCAGTACCCTCGTTCTGGAACTGGGCGCGACTTCTGCCTCGTTTACAGATGATAGCTGACCAATAGAAATACAGGTGTTGACTACAGATTAAATTTCTCAATCGCTATCTTGTTTCATTAAAAGTATAGCTACTGTATTCAAGATTAATTTCTCTATTGGGGAAATTAATTAAAATTAGTAATAATGACATAGTTGAAGAAAGAATTCCAATCTATCTTCTAATATTTATGTTATTGCCCTTTATGATAAAGAATCTTACTGTACACATGTATATGCATGTATGTATTTATATGTTTGAAAGTTCAAGCTGGTCATACAAACATGTTGAAATATGTTAAAAGATAATAAGTGATACGTTCTGACACTTTTGTGGATAAAAACAAAAACAATGGTGACACATTGACTCGTGGTGACACACATTTCGACAACAATTTATCACTGGTAATAAACTGGTGAGCCGGAGACTAATTATACATTAATACCATACGAATTTCACTCTCTCAATAATTAATATAATCTTTCTGGATTAACTAGACCCACCTGGAATACCTAAACCAACGTGGATTAACTAAAACTACTTGGACTAACTAGACTCACCTGGATTAACTAGACTCACCTGGATTAACCAAAACCACTTAGATTAGCTAGACTCACCAGAATTTACTATACTTACCTGGATTAACTAGACCCACCTGGATTAACTAAAACTACTTGGATTAACTACTCACCTGGATTAACTAGACTCACCTGGATTAACCAAAACCACTTAGATTAGCTAGACTCACCAGAATTTACTATACTTACCTGGATTAACTAGACCCACCTGGATTAACTAAAACTGCTTGGATTAACTACTCACCTGGATTAACTAGACTCACCTGGATTAACGAAGTACACTGTGCTCACGAAGCGCCTGCCGTCTTCAATAAAAGGAGGCTGGATTTCTTTCCACGGGAAACCGTTGGGAAGATGTTTTGGCACCGAGGTCTGGATGCCAGCGATGTGGCCTGCCACGTCATACAGAAGTGTCACGGCGTAGTCGTCGTCTTTCACGTAACGTGATCCCCGCCATTTGGCTTGAGGGTTGCACGAGCCGATCTTCTTGAAGCTGTTGGGTGGGTGGATTGGTGGGTGGGTGGGTGGAGTTGGTGGGTGTGTGGGTGGGTGGAGTTGGTGGGTGGGTGGGTGGGTGGAGGCGAAGTACAAACGTACATGGTGGGTGTGTAGGTGGAGTTGGTGGGTGGGTGGAGTTGAAGTACAAAGTTACATGGGGTGAATAATGTTATGTAACAACACAACTCCATTTTAAGAGTTGGATTGTGTTTTTTGCAACGTTGGAAAGATGAATGATGTTATAATATTATAGAATATAAATTATGTTATAACTTTGGAAGAGATGACTGCTGTTTCTTTATAAATGTATTAATGATGAATGATGTTCTACAAATACAATGCATCCTAAAAGGTAGTAAATTACCTTCTCGGGCATGATGTGTACAGGCTTTGTACAGAACATAATTCCTAATCCCAATGCAAATACCAACTATAGTCTCTTTTTTCTAATCCTTACCCTAATCCAAAGCCCTAATGCGTATCGTAGATATAATTATGACGATATGATAATGTATTAAACAATATACAGTTAACCTTATTTATTCTAGCTATAACATATAGAAAATATGATACTAAAAACCGTTTCGCATCTAACGGTTAATGGGGCAGTTGAAGTAGAGTTCATGTGGTTCCATGATCACTACAAATGAAGGGCCAGTGTGGTCACATTTATTCACATCCACCTTAAATTATCCTACCTTTGATAACGTACTCAATAAACCTGAATGGGTGGATGGCATTCCTACTAACTCGAAGTTGAGATCCGAACCCGCGACTTTCCCGTGTGAGTTCATGTACGTGAGTACTCTATGCAAGGCTACTCACCCCATTCGCTTGGCCTCCGACTCAGTTCGTGGCATCGAGTCAAAGAACGGGGGGTCAAGTGTCGGGCCCCACGTGACTTTCAGTCCATCCCACTTTTGAGCAGCAGCAACTAAAAAATTATAAATAAACACAGAACGTCAAATAAAACACAAAGTCTAAATTTACTGAGTTCTGGAATGTAAGAAACGAATATTAATATTCAAGACTTCAGTATTCCCTAAAATGTTAATAATATCCGTTGCATTTAATACAAGTGCTTTTCAAACTTCTCAAACTTTTCAAACTGATTTATGTATTAGAAGTATTAAGCATTTAACTAGATCAGCTACATAGATTAAAATATACCTACCGTGACTATGGTTAGAACAGGGGAGGACAGATGCAAGAATGAGCAATTCAAGACCAGTGAACATTATGGATGTAAGAGTGATGTTGGAATTTAACGAACGACAACTCTTAATGTAAGCAGGTAGAGTTCGATAACTCTTGCTGTTTGCAGACAAGGAACGATAACTCTTGCTGTTTGCAGGCAAGGAACGATAACTCTTGCTGTTTGCGGGTAGAGAACTAGCGCCTAAAACGTGTGACGACTTGACAAGGCGACCAACAGAAACTAAATGTCTGTTTTCGGAGTTGGTATCACGTGACTTTGTTTATGCTAATTTTTTAGTACTAGTGTTCAAGTTAATTAAATAACGTCGAAGTTAATTAGCAAATATACAAAGTTAGACGGCTGATTGCTGATCTCAGCTTGAATGATCAAGATAATTATGTTAATTGGAGAAAAAAAATGAACAGAAGCTGTACGAAAAGTAAGTCAAAATATGCTAACTTTAACCAAGTGTGACATAGACTAATAATGAATTGACTAAATAGATTAAAAGTACACCAGGGAACTACGCATTGTAAATCGTATTTCTAAAAAACAACTTGAGTTAGCGAAAATCCTGTTTTGTGTTGTAGGCTGTTTTAGTTGCCCGCTTTCGACATATGGAGCATTTTATGATGTTGTTTTTTTTTTCTTTTTTTTTTTTGTTTTTTTTTTTTTTTGTGAAGTTGTTTGATATAACTAGGCCTATAAAAGTAAAAGAAAAAGAATCCTCTTTAGACCTAGCGATCCATTTGGCAAATGAAGTATAGTTCATATTTTCTTTGACCTCGGCAAATGAAAGGGATTGTGTGGTCAGCACTATGCCCAGCCGACTTAACTTTCCCTAACGTGAGTTAGGCACCCTTCAGAGCTGGGTAGTCTCAGTGACGTTCTACTTACTTGCACCCGGATTCAAACTCATCTTTCGGGTTAGCACCCTAGCGCTCTACCGCTGAGGCCACGCCGTCCCATGTTTGATAACTTTTGGCTACCGTTATTCGCGAGTCTTTCTGCACAGTTGATGTAATGCATTAAATGTTTTGATTATATATATATATATATATATATATATATATATATATATATATATATATATATATATATAAAACAATGTATGTATGTATGTGTGTGTGTGTTTTGTATGCATTACTACACCTCTTATCACATCGCCGTGAAACTTTGGGATGTTTTTCAGAATATTTCTGCGGAGGTTACTGCGAAAAAATATATTTCAAATTCGTGGGGTGGCGCCCTGGCAGGGCGCGATTTGTTTTTTTCTCTATATACTGTATATAAAAATAAAAGTCGATTTTGGTTTGACACCATTCATCCTATCGCCATCAAACTTTGGTGAGTTCCTTAGAACACTCTGGGGAAGGTTTCTGTAAAAAAATCATTTTTATTTTCGCAAGGGCGGCGCCACGGGAGGGTGCGATTTTTCTCTAAATACAGTATATAAAAATAAAAGTCGATTTTTATTTGAAACCGTTCATACGATAGGCATGAAACTTTGGGGACTTCATTATAACACTCTATGAGAAGGTTCTGTAAAAATTCATTTTTAATTTCGCAAGGGCGGCGCCACGGGAGGGTGCGATTTTTCTCTATGTGCGGTCTATTAAAAAAAAGTCGATTTTAATTTGACACCTTTCATACGATAGTAGGGGGTCGGCTCATGGTTGCTAAACCGAAAAGTCTCGAGTTCGAACCCTCGGGCAGATGAGGCTCGTTAGCTGGGGACAGGAGAGACAACTCCAAAAATCAAGCAACTGCTGCCTTGTAGTTTGTTCTTGGTTGGACAAAGGCTATGGAAGCAAATCCAAAAAGAAAAGCAGGCTGAAATCAGAGTTAATGGCCTCAATGGCGCATAACCAGTTGACACGTAACGCTTAATTGTGTTGGAGGCGTGGTCGAGTCGGCAAAAAGCTCATGGTTGATGAATTCGAACTAAGTCTCGAGTTCAAACCCACTGGCAGATAAATCTCGGACCCCTTCAACACTAAAATTAAGAACGAAGAAGAAGATACGATATTCATTAAACTTTAGGGAATTCATTATAACACTCTAGGAAAGGGTTCTGTAAGAAATCATTTTTTAATTTCGCAAGGGCGGCGCCACGGGAGGGTTCGATTTTTCTCTATGTACGGTAAATAAAAACAATAAAAGTGAATTGCAGTGACACCGTTCACACGATCGCCATGAAACTTCAGGAAGATGTTGAGAATATTCATGGGGAGGTTTTTGGGTAAAAAACATTTTCAAATTCGCAGGGGTGGCGCCCCGGCAGGGCGCGATTTGTTTTCTCTCTATATAAGGTATATAAAAATATAAGTCGATTGTGGTTTCACACCGTTCATAGATAGCCATCAAACTTTTGGGAGTTGATTAGAACACTCCAGGGAAGGGTTCTGTAAAAAAATCATTTTTAATTTCGCATGGGCGGCGCCACGGGATGGTGGGATTTTTCTCTATATACGGTAAATAAAAATAAAAGACGATTGCGTTCGACACATTTTATTCGGGTGCCATAAAACTTTAGGGAGCGGGAGTGGGGGTGGGTGGTGGGGGGAGAGTGATTTGATTTTGCATGGGTGGCCGCCCGGCAGGATGCGATTTGGCGCCCTTGTCTTTCCCGTGAGCGCTATGGTGACTACGACCGGTCTAAACAGTGTGATAGACAATGGATAGGATGGAGCGTTACAAATGCTCACTAAATTGAATCAGGCGTGTCCACTGGCGCCCTGGTAGGGTGCGATTTGGCTGCAAATAAAATTTCTGTTTCGGCCCCCAAAATGTCACATGGGCCGCTGAGGGCCATATAATAGGTTTTATTTTAATAATCAGAAAAATTAAATAAGGTTAGATTATTAACTGAGATTCTTTTAAAGTGCGCGTAACTAACAATCGATTAATTAAAAGTAAGAATGACAAAACCGATCAAACCATTGTGAAATAATAATCATTAAAAAAGTTTTAAAAAACCCACGTTTTCTGATTGAACTAAAAAGTAGAAAATAAATACTATACATCACAATAATGCAAGCGATCACTCTACTATAAGCGATGAAAAACGTGGGGCGCCGAAGTAAAAGTTATATTACTATTGATTAGATAATACTATTGACTTTTATTAGGGAGCTTGTAGAGAGTCAACAGTATTAGAAACTGTAAGAAAATCATTTGTTGTGCTTGGCACAATTTTTAAAGAAATATGGAATCTTCTGAAAAGGGGTGTTAGGCTACGGAAAGTAGTAGAAATAAACTATTAGGTTGTTTATTAAACATCCATCGGTAATTGGAAGCCAACCATAATATATTATTAATCAAACACAAACCCTAATTCTTGCCCAAATTACTGTAGGTAATAATGCTATGATTCCCTCATTATAACACAACTCTTATAGGAAGAGTCTATTCGTTTGATACCAATATTAAGACACTTTTTTTTACATGTGCGTGCAGAAAATTAAGTAAAGAAGTAGAGGTGTCAGAACAGATCAAACCATTGTGAAAAAAAGGGATGACAGGACTTAATTTTGAGTGTTTTAGAATCACAGCCCACAAAGCCGAGACCAGCTTATGCCTGGTTACATAACATTTTTGAATGAAGTAACTGATGTTACATAACCTGTGACCTTGTTACGTCATTTACGACATGGCATTGTCAGGCTAAAAAAAGTCAACAGTATATTTTGATTCGACAAGGAAGGGGTTGGGGGAGGGGGGGGGGAGGGGAGTTTATTTTATCATCACTGTTCAATAATGCAATATTAATGGAATCTTCTGAAATGTTGGTTTCAACTGTGGAGAAGGAAACAAGTTATTGTTTATTACATTATTGAGAGAAATAGGGGTGTCAGAACAGATCAAACCATTGTGAAAAAAGGGATGCCAAAATTAGTTTTGAGTGTTTTAAAAACATATGAAGTCAAGCAACGTCTGGCGTGGTTAGTACTTAGATGGGTGACCGCTTGGGAACACCACGTGCTGTAGATTGAATTTTTTAACTTTTTTTTTTCATCTTTTTAAATATTATTTTGATTGTATTTTTTTTTTAAATAAAAAAAAAGGGCGAAGGTTGGAAGTATTTTTCTTGAGTTATTTTTAATAAACGAATATTAGGTTTTATTAGTGTGTGTTGCTTATATCAAAAGTTTCCTGTACACATCAGTATAAAATGCTATTTTTTGTAATTGTAAATATACGGCCATACAATGTTGATGACACCTTTTCCGGTCCGATCACCGAAGTCAAGCGACTTGGAAATAATGCTTGTTTCTACATTTTTAGGCAATTTTCAATTCAGATATACATTACCAGGAGCTGTTTTTTTTTTATTTGCTGAAATAATTTTGTATTGATATAATTTTTTTAAAATCTACCACATTAGTAAAATATTAAATACTCTTTCTCTCCTACTAAGTTCTTTCTTATCAGTTGTTTCCATTTACTTTATTTAAGGGAAGATGCAATTAAATAAAACTAGCTAGGCAGAGAAATCATTGTTTAGTAATCTCCCTTCTAAGTAACAAAGGAGCTGTTTTTATACATTGTGACTTGTTGACTTAAACCCTCTGTAGAATTTAAACATTTGCAGCATTAAAAACAACAAAATTAGTTTTGTAAATTATGTTATGTAATTATTTTCATTTAAGGGGATCCTAACAATTTTCACAACTGCATTTCAAATCCATTTAGACAATTCAAGTGTTTATTTTCCTTTAATAAATCAAGATGTAATGTTTTAAGTTCTATAAATAGATGACCGAACACATCACCTCAACTCTGCTAAAAACCAGCATTTAAAAACTTCACATGCCAACACAGAGAAGAAGTTAAAGTGAAACCTGTGTTTCTTACAGGTGTTTTTAACATGTCCTCATCAGAAGGTGAATATTGGACATAGCAGATATTGGTTTGCTTTTGTTTTAGTTATATTACATTCTTCATATATAAGATCATGTTCTGGGGACTTGGCCATATATATATATATATATATATATATATATATATATATATATATATATATATATATATATATATATATATATATATATATATATATATATATATATATATATATATATATATATATATATATATATATATATGTATGTATGTATATATACGCTACTCTGAAAAAAAGAACAAAAAACGATCTAGGTCCACAATAC